AACTGTTGAAGCAATAAAATTTATACAGGTATCGAATTTGAGTACTTAACATAAGTCTCTTGTAAGAATGATGTTTCCGATGAATTATGTCGCTGACGGGTTTCGGAATTTTGTCTTTGGATTTTATTGTGTAAAACGATGCCAACGTGTGTGGGATGAGCTTATATGGAAATTTCGACTTGTAAATACTCACCTTCAGTGCGCATTATCTGATGTAAATGCTTTCTTAGTTTAAAGGTTTCGCATTAATTTGTATGAATTTGAAACGACAATGTTTGAAGGCGAAACTTATCTAGACTTATCGCTGATAATTAAACAGCAATTAAAAATTCCGAATCGGCCGCTTCAATACTCCACTCTTTTATTGATGTTTTTATCTCGACAGCCAAATTTCATTGAAACATTCCCAGTCGGCGCCTGGCGATAATTCATTGTAGTACACAAGTAAAATTGTCTAATTTTGCTTGGCCAATAACAAAAAAATATATAATTAATCCGCTCTACGTGTCCTAAGTCAGTATTTATCCAGGGAAGTGGAATTGATAAGAATAATTCGCTTTTTACGTCATAAGTCACAGGAGGGCTCGTCGGAATCCAGTGATATCCAGCTTGCGCCTTGTGAACTTTTATTTAGTTTTCATGCAGACTTTGCCCCATGACTACTTACTTTTTTGGCATATTTAGTGATTGAAGGATTTATAATCGTCAACAAACAAATTAGAAAACAGCCGGAACACCACAATGAAGGCACAGATAACGTACATCAATTACTACGAACATGATTAGATGTTCCAATTATTACATAAAAAATTAGCTGGCGCCTGCCATTGACATGTTTTATGGATGTGGGACAGTTGGAATTTAAAGAACTAGTTCTTGGGTACTTACTAAAGCATTCGGTTCTTGATTATGGTCACTTGATTGATCATCATTATTAGTTAAATTGATTGATGCTCCTAATAGATCTAACGTAGTTGCAAGAGTGAAGGAAGCGAATGCATTGGAAACTAATTTTTTATATTGGACTTGAGGCCAAATTCGTGTCTTTATTAGGATCTAATAAGCTATAAGAGTTACAAGGCCGGTTAATTAATTGCAATCTTTCAGCTTCAATGCTCTGAAAGTTCCGGTTCAAAATTTAGCCAATTGAAAAATCGCAGGCGAAATCCTGCTAAAATGGAAAATGTTCTTAAGCCACCTGCAGACCTGCAAGCATTTTGCTTTGTTGGGAAATGGAATTGCCATATAAACTCAAGACGAGTAGTCACACTCGACTATTTCTTTTCCACTTTTTACGCTTTTCCTTAAAAGATAATTCCCATAAATTAAAAAAATTTGGTTGAAAAAATAGTCAAAGTTTGTAAAAAGCGTGTTTTTCATAAAAAAATAGTCAATCAGATCAGATCAGAATCAGGAAAATGAAATACAAAAACAATTAACAGAAAAGTGAATTCTACCCACGTTTCTCCATAAGTTATTCGACATTCCGCAATTTCAAAACGCCTTTTCTTAGCACTAAATTGGTCTATATCGTTGTCATTGAAAGGATTTTTTTCGTTTTCGGGGTTGACATTCTAATGCTTTATTTAAAAAGTAACGAATTTTTTAAATATGACAAAGTACCGTACACAAAGCGGGTGAAACGATACAGTTTTCTAAAATCATAAATTTCAAAACCATTTTTTTCTTAAGAAAAATTTCCACAATTTTACCTTAATTTAACGGGTTTCGAGTCATCATGAAAACGGTTAAAGCGGTTAAATTATGGCAAAGTTGTGGAATTTTCTGCTCAAAAATCAGTGTTTTGAAATTTGCAAAAGTCAAAAAACGCAGTATTTCACGCGTTCTCTGTGTGGTTTTTTGTTTTATTTTTAAAATTCGTAATTTTTTTGCTGTCGACTCCAGCAAAATTTCAATATCAAATATCAATCAAAAATAGCAAAACACAAGCTTTGATAAACAAAGTAATGCCACGAATTAAAAGGTTTTCTGTTAAAGTTTTTGTGGCATTATCACTTTCAGATCCCTTGCATTCTGTCTTCCTTCAAAATATATTTTATTAATTATTCGGTCGCCGTTATATTAATTAAAATTATTAGAAATATTTCGAAAGCTTGTTTCCTAACAAAATTGCAGTTTGTTACACAGTTGCACATTGTCATGCCATATTGTGAATTTAATGGTAAATGTGAACATGTCAAGTAAGTAACGTGGTAAATAAAATGGACTGAGTATGGATTGAGGAGGGAGTAACGATGTCACAAGATTCCTTCAGATCTATTGGAGAAAGGGCAACCTATCGAATGATCAACGTGAAAATACAACCAAAAATCCTTAAGCAACAAAACTGCTAAATTTGTATCACAAGACCTAAAAACCATGGACTTTAGTATCTTTCATCTAGTTTACTGCTGAACCTTCTTGTAGTGATTCACTCTCACTTCCTAAAAACTTCTCTTAAATTGTTGAATCATTGTTGCCATTCAAAAACACCACACGAAGTTGTAAATACTTCCACTTTGATGGTGCCGTGATATCAATATAACGTAGGCTATTATGTTATTAGGTGACAGGGTAGGCGCCTGTTGAAAGCATTAAGATCATTTTGCGCTCAACACATGTCCCGCTTCGTAATTGAGAGGACCTTTTATTACACAGTTGCCGGATTTTGTTCAATTTTAAATCGAAAACGCTATCTGAGTAGATGAAAAAATTATTGAAAATTTTATCGCGGTTTGAGGAAAAACCCCCAATCTTAAAAAAGGAAATTTAACCAAAGAGGACGCCATGAGGCTTCGTAGAATTTCGGATTGCCGACAAGCTACATCGGTATCAAAAGTCTCAATCTAATCAATAACAATGGCTTTTCTAAGTTGGCAACGATGCGATAAAATGATGATATAAACGCCGCCTAAGTAACACTTTAAGTAACCACATAGATGTACCGTCTCTGAGACGCGACGGTACCATTTTTTCTCCAGTCTCAAAATGTATCTGCTTACATCCATGGCGTCTTTGGATACTTGTTGCGAAATGAGCAATACCGGAATTAAATTCGCCACTAATCAGTGTTCGGCATCGGCAGTGGTTGTGTGTGAAAATGGTTCCAGAGTTGGAAAACCAGATCCCCAGTCCAAGGTATGAAGTACCTCTTCATCGAAAGTTTCCAAACTATTTACCAACACCAATAGCAAAAACACCCCTTCATATTCAAACTAGTCAATAGCATTTCCATCATTATGATCTAGTGATCTAGATCTGTGATTTGGTCTGGATGTTTCCAAACCTGGCAGATAACACGGAAAATTCCTGCCCACTTGGTTTCATCTTCCTCTTGTGTTCAGTGATTATTTTGATTTCCTCTTCAGATAATACCAGCAAGGAAAACTTGTTCACTTGGCATGGATTTGCTCGTCCAAAAATTTCGAAATATCCTCCTCCGAGGGTCTACTAATTTGAACTTTGGATCTGTTATAGATGTTAATCTGGCTGATAAGTGTAGGATCCGGTTTTACCTCATTCACTATGGCAATCCACTTATGTGTTCTTAATATCTCCAAAATTTTCCTTTAACATCCGTCCACAGAACTGACTGTTTTCATCAAATTATTCAAGTTAATTATTTGCTCATCTCAGATTTTTCGCTTTAATACAAGTTATATCTGGGGTTCAAATATTTCAAGGGTTTGAAGTTTGGTCCCTTATACCATGCAAAGAATAAATGAATTTGAGTAATTGCACTTTACTACCCTAAATGTAATTTCTTTGAGAAAATCACATGTAGTACCGGAACTAAAGCTCAGATCAACAAGTTGCGTGTTAAAAATCCAGTATTGTCCTGAATTTTACATACCCAGATCGTAAATTTGAGGAATTTTCTCATTATTTTTATAGCGCTACTTATCATGAATATTTCGCAATGAAATTGTTTTTAAATAAGGATTTATTACGTGAATGGTATTTTTATTGGAATTTTTACTTAACTGGCCACATGCCTTTGAGTTGAAACACCACAACACAATTGAATCGTGAATGTTCTGGTTTCAATTGGATTATCCCTGTGAAGTGAACTGAATCTCAAATAATTGAGAAATGTTACTGTTTCGAAATAACCAACCTTGGTTCTTCATCGACATGTTGAAAATAAAATTGTTTCTCATCACTTCACGATGATTCAAGGGCAGATATATCGAAATATACTGTTTTTTCGACTAGCAATCCTAACCTGTTACCAGCTGTATGAAATCCATCCGCGATAAAGAGACGAAAACATCCGATAGCCGGAATTACATTTTGCATTTACGACCTGGAAACGTATAAAACTTAAATTGGAAGCCGGTAATTATATCAGTATAATAACTTTTAATTTTTGCCTTTAAAACCGACCATTTTACACATAACTCCTGAAGGCTACAACCTCACACGACCATGCATTTATGTGCTAAAACGTTATTAATGATGTTATGGTCAAATGTTACGCATTTTTATTATCGCAATTTTAATCAGTTATATGGTATTAGGATGTCAAAACAACGTGTGATAATCGATCATTAACAAACCTACAGGGTGGCTAAGTTAGTAGATATTTTGAACCAACTGAAGTCTTGTTAGAGGAGTGTTTTATTCTTCTCAGCGACTAGAGGCAAAGCATATTTGGATAAGGAGTAGTTTAATGGACATTTCTTAATTCGTTTTACTTTTCCGACCATGTAAATGAACGGACGTTATCTGTTACAGAGTAATTAAATAGATTGATGTAATTAATATTAACGTTTTAATTTGCGGAAACTTGGCACTGTTTGGTACAACTGGTGTTAAATGATATTAAATATCACTTATCACAGTAATAAAATGATTTTGCACTGAACAAATTGAATGTTGATTAATTTGCATAACATTTCCAACAGATTGTCACTAAATATTTCATTACTTGCTCATATTTCTTTCCTTCAGGTTTGGTTGGTGTTATTGATGATATAACATTTGCTCTTCTGTTACAGGAAATTAAAGCTACCAATAAAGGCGATTCGGGTTCTAATATTTATTATGGTAAGTTCATAAACTTTTTGATTTCGTTCTAAGGCATGCTTTTATTTTTAACTGCTCTCTGCACGTGCAGCTGAGAGCCAACAATAACTGATACTTTCTGGAGCATTTAAGTGACAATTATTTAAAAAGCTATATCAGAATGACTCTAAATTTGCAACTTGTAAACAACAGCAAGTTTTCAAGCTAAGTGATAATGGATTACAATAAAGCAATTAAAAACATAAAAACATTCAGCATACATTCCAATGGATTCGGCTTTTGAACCATTGAAAGCTAGATCTTTTAATTGCTACTATTGCACAACCGATGTAATTAGCTAATAAATAATAACGTATTTGATGGCTTCTTGAATCTGCAAAAGTCAAGGCAACACCTTGAATGATCAGATTAATTGAGTGCGGAAATATCTTTTCCTCGTTTGGTACAAGTTCAAACCACGATTCACTTCATTTTGTGGTTTTAACAGTAATTGTTCTTTACGGCTGCTCTTAAGAGATTCACTATCTTGAAATGTAACTAGATGGATTCAAGGAATCTACGTCGTTCTCTTATTTCACAAGCGACTAATAACAATTGGAGGCACTTCAACTCGATATAAAAATATAAACGAAATTTAAGTGTTTAGTACATACGTCAAATGGTTTTTGCCACATTTGAGTTATTTTTGGATGTAGCTATTTAGATAATTTGGTACTTGTAACGTCTGCTAGTGGATCCTTTATGAATCTAATTAATCTGCACTTAAAAAAGTCTCGATAGGGCAGTTTCAATCTTATTAACAATTAGCAAACATTTTTTTCCTGCGATTATATAATGGTGATTTGGCGGCACAAAACTTCGTAACGGAAATTGAAATTATGGCCTATTTAACAAAGGTTCGTTCTATTCCAGCTAATTCTTCAACATTGCACCGTCAGTTACAGCCAGCCAAATTGTTTCGGACCAGTATGCAAGACAAAAGTGTATAACGATAAGCTCTGTGGCTACGTCTACATCAATCAAACCAATCAAAAGATAATGATTAATAGAAGTAAGTTGAGTTGTTCTCCCATGTAGGCGAATTTTGGGATTTTCCACGATGGCCAGTTCAGCTTCTAATGGCAAATGTTATTGTTCCAGATAATGACTCGTTTCTTTACAAAATTTCCACGACTTACCAGCCACCGGATTCGAGATGGGAAATATCAAATGACAAGCAGAAGAACATTCCAGCTTTCTATCTATTTGATCCAAATACCAAGAGGTTTTTGTGTTGGAAAAGTATGACGGGACCTGTAGTGGGATTGGTGAGTAGATAATATTAAAGATTTACGGTTGTGTTTCTAGATGTATGCGATTTGCCAAAATTAGAAAAAAATTGATTCGCATGGACACTAAATTATTCTCTTCGTCATGTTTGTTGGTATTTTATTGACTTTGATAAGAAAAAATATGAAATAAATCGAAAGTCGTTTTGTGTTCCGTGCGAGATGCCTGAAGTACCTACTCGTAAAAATATTTGGTACCGATGGTAAAGATTTAAAATAAACTTAAAAATGTTATAAATTATTGATAGAATTGGACAATCGCGGCTTTTGCTGGAAACTGGTGAATTTTTCGTGCTGTTAGTCCGTCGTTAAATAGAATTTGATCCTAAAGTTTCGAAACTGCTGGGCCGCTTGTAGTGAAGCAAACCATGTATTTTTGACGATGGAAACGTCAGGAACAAACTCTTTGCAAACGGCGGCTTAAAAGTCCGAAAAATCACCAGTTTCAATTTGGTGAATTATTTAAAAAGTAATTTATTACGTTTATACCATTTAAAAGCTTTGTATTACTACATTTTATTTATGTTTCGAGCAACGTATTTTCTAACGGTGGGCTTCTGTTTGTTGCAGACTTACGATAGAATCGAAAAGGGTATAAAAAACTGGGACCTTTGTAAGTTTACCGATGTCCCTCCCGACGATACCCGGTACAACAAAACCCACGTATACCTTCAACTTGTCTTCCAGAAGAAGAACATAACGTTGAGTTTTGACAGGAAAGGACAGACAATGTCTCAGAGGCGTATCCAGAAGTGCTTGCGCAAGAACCACATGAGCAGACATTCCAAAATGAATGCGCGAAAGAAAAATAAGTGCTTTGGAAACAATTTGTTTATGCTCTATTCCAAATTTAATGAAGGGGAAGGGAATCGCGGTAAAACTGCCTATGAAACCTTATGTGACGGCAAAACGGCTCATATGGATGAATTGGCCGGGGTCTGTGAAAGAAGAATCCCGAAGAAGCGACTGTAAGAGATTTGACACTAGAGGGTTGTGTCTAGAACTATGTTACATCTCACATTTGACTCCGGACAAACAAAGACACTAAAATTCAAGTAATTCTAGTCTAAGGATATTAAGGTAGTTAATGTAATTTGCTCCTACCATAACCTTTTCTGGCGATAGATAGCACCGATAAACAAGCCAAGTACCATAAAACCGGTACCGATTAAGTATTTTCAAATAACCCTACTTATAGTTAAGCTTCACCATATACGCTTATTATAATAATGAAAAAAAAACCCTTACCCCAAAGTATAGGTTTCTTCGATTCTACGCATGAATTGAAATCGATTTGTGCACTGACTAAGCAGCTTTCGCCAACTAGGAAATGTCCACCCACTACGGCAAATGGTTAATAGATGAAAACAGACCTTTTTGCCTCTTTTGGAGCAATTTTCAATAAAAAAATTCTAAATGTTTGAGCATGTGGAAATTCTTAGAAACCGCTTCAGAGGAGGAAATGTAATGCTTAGTCCCTTGAAGCTCCTACTAGGCTTTTGTTATATTTCAAATAATTTATGAATTGATGAAAATTGAATCAGAAGTCAATTGTATTGTGCTTGGAAACATTCTGCAAAATGTATAGAATCAATTGCTTGTGCTGATCATTTAAATATTAAAATTATTGTCAATTTTCTTGCACTAAAAACCATTTGCTGAATTTGGTGTTGACATAAATATTATAGCGTCAGTATTCTAATGTAAGTCGTTTCTGACTTGCCCTCTACTTCTAGCAGGATGCGGTCCTGTTAACAGTAGCACACAAGTCTCAGTGTATATGATTGTACAAATTATTACTAAAAACCTTTTATACCACCCAACTTAATTTATTTTTCTATCTCTTAATATATTTTTTTGTAATTTTATTTCTTAAGTTATTACAATTCCATGAAGCTAGTCAATTGGACGACATGCCTTCACGTTTCATCGACTTTGAGAAAAATGCAAGGGATGTTGTTTGTCTGACTGATGTGACTGCGTATTTTGTTTTACCTCCGTGAGGTGTATTCTCTGAGAGTTTCTGTATATTTATTATTTATTTTTGTAAATATTTGTTAGACCACCGTTTGAAATGATCCATTGTTGATTCAGTTGTGTTTCATATTTTTTTAAACTCGACTGAAATATTATTTGTAACGATGGTCTTGTTATGAAATGAGAATAGACACTTTTTGAGTCACCCAGTGCGCGCCTGCTACTAAACTATTTTTTTTGTTTTTGTTTTCAACGCGGCTTTAGTCTATTCTTGTTTTTCCATGTTTTAATGGAGGATTCAACGAGGAACACTGAGCGAATTATTCCAATTAGTGACTGCATGAGGATAGTTTTGCTACGGGAATAATTTGGCAGTGATTTTCGTGTTGCAGTAAAAGTACCAAATAGTTGACTAGGTATGACGCTCTAGAATAGAATAACCCTTAAAAAAAGTGTGGGAAATAGTGTGCTCAGTATTACGTTTTTTTCATCTTTTTCAATCACTTTATTTAATATGTTGGGCATATTAAATTCAAGGTTTTTTTGTATTTGCAGAAATACCAAATCAATTTTGTCAGCATTCCAGAGCACCATTTCCGAACATTTTTGAATATAAATGTCAGAGGAACTTTACACGGGGTGGTACATACGACACTTTAAACCTTTCCGACATTTCATCGATCTAATACGTATTCATTTGACCATCCTGTAAGTAAACGTAACATAATATATTTACTATGTATTTTTTTGTAATTATATCACGGCCTCGCTCATGTATGTAATTCGATGTAAGATCTGTTGTAGAAATGTGTCCTTATATTTACATTCCAAGTCCCATATTTACTGATGTCCGTTTGCAATAAAAAACAGTCAGTAACTGATATCGATTCGTTTTATTTTCCGATACGGCTCTTGGGTGAAAACCAGAAAGTAATTTAAGATATGGCCGTCAACTGGACATACAGAGTGTTATTTTCGTGAAATCACCTATTTTATATACCTAACTGGTTTTTTTGAGAAATAATTCGCAATATTTGGGTTTTTCATCGAATATTGTTTTGCTCGATTCATTTAACGCACATTTTCTGCGCTCTTCAAGTCCAAGACAAATGTCCTTCAACTCCTGTTTCCCATATTTCCCCCCCTGAAAATGAAGCTTTAATCTGCTTCCGGACGCTTTTTCTTGCCTGTGGCTGTCAAGACAATTAACCAGGACCCTTAGTGAAATTTATAGGGCGGCTTGGGCAATTTAACCCCCTTTAAGGGCATTTGCCCCTTAATGGCAAGTGGCCATTCATACCAGTTTCGTCAAACACAACTATGCGCTGATAATTTTTCGGGATTTGGATTTTATGGCCCTCGAATTCCGAAGTTCACGGGGCTGGAAAACGACAAGAATCCGCCAAAATTTGCAGCTGGTAATTTTTGGAGATTTTCAGCGAAGCAACATATTTTAGTGAGTAAAATTATTCATAGTGTCAACAACGATTCCAGATTTCCTAAGGTTGACATGGTAATTCCCACAATAAATCCTCTATTTGTTTGGCTTTATATTGAAATCATAATAGTCAATTGTCCTGATAATAACTAGTCTGAACGTTAACGCAATAAACTGATTAACCTTGTAACAAGCTCCTAATGGCGCAGTTTTTCACAAATTACATATAGCTAGTATTATATGAGTTTTAATTTTTGTTGTTGGAGGTAAGTGTGCAAACGGCAAATGTTGAGAATATGCTAAAAAGGTCAAGAGGAAAATATTTTATAATTGGAAGGCAGTTCCTACTTTCCATTATTGGCATTAGTTCTTTGAGTAAATCAGCATGAGCGAAGTTTGATATTTCGCATACGTAACGCACTTTCCATGATCTTTCGGCTTATGGGAACAACAACGAAATAAAGTATCAAGTGGCGCCAGCGTGTGTCCATTATTTCATCATATATTAAAGTCGGTCTTGTAAAATGCGAAACCCATCACACCCACATCGAACCAGAGCTGAACCATCACAGTTTAATAATTATCGTTATTATATCTGCGGAACCTCGCTTGCGTGTGAACGACGATTTTCGCAGCTTTTAATGGGGGTACTAGCCATTTTATGTACGTATTTAAATTTTATTGCGAATTAATTGTCTCCTGTTGTAAAACTGAAGTGGGTTAAATAGTAAAAGTTGCCACTTCAGCTGAAGGTGGCTGTCAATCTATTTAATTATGTATTTTTACCCAATAGAGAGCAAAGTACCACTGTGAATCCCAGCGATTTAGCAAAAGCCAGATAATTTGTAGAACTGAATAGCAGAAAATTGCTATTTTATTGTTTTGGTCTGTGGCTGATGGTGTAAATATTCCACATTTTCACTTAAAAAACCACAATTCAAGTGGTAACGAAAGTAAAGCTGAAAGTACAATATACTATGATGAAATCTGATAGGCAGATACATAGGTATTTAAAGATTTGAAATGTAAAAATATTTTTTCCGGGGATTTTTGGAGACCAAATGTTTTATAGTTTGACTACTAAACTGTAGTCAAAGTGAATGAGCTCTCAAAAGCATTAGTACATTTTCAATTTTAATGCGCTAAAATATGTTCTGATAACAAAAACTACCTATTTTCCCAACTCGATTACTAAACAGTTTCTGGTAGATACCGAAAATAGTGCTAGCGAAACATCAGACATAAATTCATGTTGAACAAACCCGTAAATTGTTGGTGTATTTCTTTCAGGTTCGTAGAGTTAATTAAAAAAAAAATAAAAACAATTTCATAAGCACTGGAAATATAAGCTGCAACAACTTTCGATGCTGATTTGTATTCGTCACTCACCTCAATTAGGAAAAATTGTGTTAAACATCTTGGAATACTTAGAAATCGACAATGCTAGTCACATTTTGTGCCATTAAACGGTGACACTAAAAGACATGAATGAATACCCATCGAGCTTATGTAGTTAATAAAATAAATCAAATAGAACTTTTGAGAAACTGCCGTTAGGCAAATAAAAACTGTTGTAATCAAGCGCAAAGTCAACATCGAGGATGCAAGAAAGGTAAACAAGTGCTCTTCAACCAGATAAGAATCTCTGTACGAGTCGGTGACTTGGGACAAGTGTTTTACCATGTTTTATAATTGTTTAGGAAGGGAAGTACAATGTTGGATATTCTTTCGTTGCGATTACCAGTGAAAGAACTTCAACAGAAACATCTAAACATCTACATTTAAAACGAGCTCTACCAATAGAGTCGCATAGTTTGACCAAAACACCTATTGTAAGTTACTTTCAAATAAATCCTCCAGTAATTTATTGTTCATTTTCTATGTGTTGTTAAATATCATGCCCAAAGCCTGGCCACCGATATCCACGAAATAAAACATAGTAGAAACCGGAATAATTTAATTTAAAAGATGAGGAACCCTATAAATTACGAACTATCGGGGCTTCCTAATGCTACCGTATCGAGGAAACTAGCAACGAAATACGCATTCTCGAATTTCATTTATGATTTATTTGGCTGCTGGGTGTTCCTGTTTTACTGTTAAATGAAAAATATTAATGCAGTGTAGTAAGAGCATTGTTGCAGATCACTGGTAAATTGAGGGCTTGGTTTAAATTCATATGCAAGTGGTGGCATTTGACACTAAACTCAAAGTGATTGAGATAAAGCCATAATTTTATCACCCACAGTATCTGTTAAGGTTCACGGTTGGCATGCAACACTAAAAGACATTCGATCCTCAATAAACCAAAGTAAATCGACGATTTGCTGTGCAAAGTCGCTCGCGCGAAAACGGCGCTTGTCGATTTACCTACGCAGATCGGTTTCCTTCCTGATTTATTCCTACTTTTTACTTGTTTATCCGATTAAAGCTTACCAACTTTATAGCGAATGGAAATTTTGCTGCTAAGCCACTGCGAAATATACAACAATTGATTTTGTATTCATACCAAATCGAGTTTATTTCTTGACGGTACCGGTAGTGCTTTTATGGATCATTTGCTGTGGCGATTTGTCTTGGTTGAAGCTGAAGTTGCATGGAAATAGACGATTTGACCGTTTCTGTCTGATCGTCTGTGTCTGACCACTGTATGTTCGGACGACGCCCAACATTCTAATTGAATAATCATAATGTTTAGTTTAAATACAATTTTTTTCTTTGCAGTTGAAAAATAGGGTCTTATACAAGTTCCTTATCATACAGTAAGATGTTAACGCATTACACATGATGCGCAGACAATGCAGAACATTTCAAATGATCTAAATATTGTTCATTGTGTTATAAAAAAGTTCGGTGAGACTGCTGAAGTTCATCGTAAGAGTTCAGAACGACCCCCTTTTCCTGAAAGAGAACGTTGTGGTCGTGTAAAGATCCGCAGATCCAACAGAAGAGGCACACAACGACAAATTCATGCTCAGTGGAATCATCTTTAAATGTATCGTGCGAATGCAGCAGACTATAGCTGGATAATCTGGTTTTTATAAAGAATAAAGAAGGTTTATTATTTTATGGGGCTGAATGTGAAATAATATTATATTTTATCTGCTTTATTCTGCTTAGAAGCAACTATCTACAGCTCTCCAATAGCAAAAACGTTTAAATTGGGGTAAATCTAAAATATCCTGGACAACGGAAATTGCAGAGTAACGTTATATTAAGTGAGGAATCAAAATTTGAGGTATGCGTAGGTGATTTTGGGAAAAATGTTATTTGAACAAAACCAGAGGCTTTTCATAAAGACTGTCTAAAGCGTACGTTAAAATTTCTCCAAAAATATGTAACTTATATGGGGGATCTATGCGTAGAGTAGTAAACGCATTGGCAAATATGAGTTTGTTGATGGAACTGTAAATGCAGAAACGTACCAACAAATTTCATCAAGAAGTTGAATTCCAACTATGGAACAAAATTTTGGAATTAAAAATTGCACATTTCAATAGGATGGTGCCTTTTTCACACAGTTAAAACGACGAAAAAGGGGTTTGGAGATCATAATTTCAAAGTTTTATCGTGGCTCAGGGCTCTCTAGCAGTCCCGACTTGAATGTTATAGAAACCTTATGGAATCAAATCAAGGAAACGATCCTCAACGAGCAGTTCCGGGATTAAAGGCAAAACTAACTGAAATTTGGATTTCGCTCACCCCAGAATTTTCTTAAAGTGCGTCCGAATATTTATTTGTCAGTAAGTTTGTGACATTTTCTATTTTGCTACAGAGAAAAAGCAGAATAAAAAATGTTTCCAATTGTCTGTTTTTATGCTGTGTAAAGAGAGAATGAATTAATTTTTCTGTAGAAGCAACAAAATATGTATTTAAAGTAAATATAAATGGCTTGTTTTCTACTCATTGAACATCGACTGAACCTATAGACGTCAGGACTCGTATATTCTTTCAAAAACACCGTAAATGATTTCAAAATACTATGACTTTGAAAAAGTTATCAGCTCAATTATTTGCCAGGTAACAGGTTGCACCTTGATAATGTTGCAGCGACCAGTTGAGAAATAGCATTGCCAATGTAAATATAGACAACCGATTTAGTGGATGGCTTATTGAAATTCAGGCTTCCTTGATAACTGTATACACCACTCAACACCTTATCTTGACCAACACCAACAGGCGAAATATCAATAACCACTATCGGAACGGCAATCGCAAAACCTTATCAATTGGGCCCGATTAATCAATTACCTTTAATACTCTATTTATAACTAAACTATTGACCGATAAAGATATACTTCAGGACGCGACGCCCATTATTTATATTGAAACCAGTCGGTGGTTGTTAATAAGTTTTCGAAACATCCCGTATATTAAATAGTCAGGAACAGGTTCCGACTTCACTGCAATCAACTACGATCTATAACTCGAAAATCTTTCGTATAGGTTTTCCACTGTATTGATGAGCGATACCATCTAAGACTTTATTTGAGAGCTTTAGTCTATAGAAAAATTTCCGGCTTGGTTTTTTTCGATGACGTGAAAAACTCATTGCAAATTTTCGTACGATAAAACCAAACTGGTTTCGATGGAAAATTGATGGGGAACATTTAAATTTCAAAAGGAAAATTAAGGAGGAGCAGGATTGAAAACTAAGCAAAGCTGCCCACATATAAATGCTATAAGCCATTGACAACAAATTTGGTTGAGAAGCAAAACCGATTTCGACAATTGTATTTCAGATTAATGACTGGTTTCCCAATTTAACTCCATACCATTTAAGGCATAAAGTACGTTTCATAAGTCTCCCAAAAATTATAACTAAACAATTTTTCTAGATACGACTTTCTGTTGTAACATGAGAACATCTCTTTAAGTTCCCTGATGGGTCAAGTGAAACCAATTACGTGATGTCGCCGGTGGCGCTCAACGACACTTGAGGTAAAAATAAGCCAGAAAAAAACCTAATGGGCTGAAAATATTTAAATTAATTTGTTGTAAATAAGAGTGGTTGTCCGTAAAAGACCACCCATAGCTTCGAAATAAGCGCCTTCATGTTTAAACTGCTCAAGATTACAGTAATAACTTTGGAGGTTTCAGCGCCTTATACATTGGTTTTACAGCTTGTCAGCCAACCGACGTTTCACTTTCAAAGTTTTAGTGACCATCAACGAACACTTGTCAATTAATTCCTGCTCGTACTAAAGATAGCGGAAATCATACAGTAGATTTTTCCGTTTATAAAGTGCTGTTTTCAAAGAATTCAAAATTGTGTTTCAGACCAAAGAAATGGAAATAAAATGGACTACAGAACGAAATAGCGCTTTCTAAGAAGCTTAACGAGACTTATCTGATGCTATCATCCACCTACGTGATATCGACATAAAATGGTTATTAGAGAAAAATGCATGGGAAATAGGGCAATTATTTTTTCTCCTGCCTTTACATGCACCAAACGTTTAGATGAGGCAAGAATTGGTGCAGTCTAACTCAAAACCATTAGACTAAAGCGGTTTGTTTTCCATTGCGACACTTTATTCGAATCTATGGCTATTTTTCAAGTTTTTTCAAACAATATTTAAACTTAGACATCACACAAACATAGGCTGCCCTTTATTTTTAAATCGCCCAGTAGATAGGCCTAACGTTCCATCAATGGGACAGTGTTAAGAGGAAAACCAAACAAAGACATATTAAGAAAGGTGCATATGCAAGACAGTCGCGGAGTTATGTTAATTAGTTTTAATTTGTGCTTCGGCCAGATGCACCAAGGCTGGTTCTTTGCCGTAAAAATTTTCACCTTACAATTTTTTCAAGCGATCGCACTAATGAGGCAATCATAGAATAGTTTTTCGGTTGGAAATCATTATTAGAACGCATAAATACAACCGTTTGAAGAGTGGCAGACGATTGTTCTTGGCCACAGTTTAAAGCAAACAGATTTGAGGAAGTAGCACGCCTTGGAGAGCCATATTAAAGTATTTTTAAGTGCCGTCGAATGAGAACTGAAGACGAAAATTGATCAAAATAATTTCATTTTTGAACTGCATTTGTTGCAACTTTAATAAACATGGTTGTTGCTGGAAATTTTAACTTTTTTTTTTGTGTTCCCGATTTTAACGCTCAGTGAAATCCAAGGCAATCATCGACAACAAAAATCAAGATAGTTACACCAGTTACAGTTGCATCAAAGAAATGAAAGCATTTTGCCCGATTTCCTGTTAATAACCTTCGATCTCACCAAGCATTAAAAAGAGTAACACAAAGTAAAAAATTCCACAATTCCATGTATCGGGCGTATTATCATCAGCTAAATAGGAACCATCGCCATTATTCACCTTTGCTGGTACCGTTCAGGTTCGTTCGACAGCCACTGAGCATTTTCAATTTCGCCCGCAGAAACAATCTCAGGTATTTTAACGTCTCTATGCCTCTCGTAGTAATTTATTACACATTGTTTATTTTATTGAGTCCCGCTGTAAAATTTAGAAATCATAAAGCCACCATAAAGCCTCTTTAATTGCGAAATCACTGAGAAGGCTCTTAAAATGCGCAGTCTTGAAGTGGGTATTTAAAGATATGTGTTATTACTGTTCCTGGGATGGATGCATGACATATTTTCAAAGTTTTATGCCGTAACTCGTACCTACATTAGCTAGACTCGGATGGATTGAATAGTTTACCCGATGAGGAAGCAACACTGTTTGCGATTAAATGTTTTTTGGTTTTTGTAATTTTTTTGCGAAAAGTGTTTGGTGCTCTTAACTTAAAGTAAGGGTCATTTAGGCGTCAGTTTTTCAAAAATTCTGTGGAGCGAGTTTTGATATCAAATAACGCTATGTATGGATAACTCAAAAGTATTATTGCATATTCTGGTTAAGAAAAAGTGATATAATTTTTGGCTCGGTTTAAAAGTTGATTTGCCAAAAGTTTTGCCACAAAATGCACATTTTTTACGCCATTCTATACTTTCAAATCGAATAGTGTTATCGATCACAAAAGCAACAATTTAAATAAATAAATTACCAACCAGCAAGAAGGAAATTAAAATATTTTCCTGTACTCACCTTTCGATCATGCTTTCGAAAGTTCCTTCCTTTTCTCTAGTCCATTTTCATTGATCAGATCCTGCACCCTGAAAGAAGAAAGCATCAAATAAGCTTCCCAGCTTATTAAAAGTCAGAGTCAAATCAGTTCAAATTATAAATTGCGCTATTGTAAAAATAAAGATTAAAGGATAACAATTATTTAGAGGCAAGTAAGTAGATATTTCGACATGGGCTCTCTCAACAATCTCACTGCCGGATTCCACCTTATTAGTTCTGATCAGGGGTTTACAAAATACAAGTTTGTATAGGTTTCGGAGTGTTGTTTTCAGGCCAAAATTTGTTCTTTCCACACGCATATTTCCGATATACGCACATGAAACATCGAATGGTGTTCCATATTTATTCTCCAATGGGCAAAACCTACATTTTTTCGAAACCGACTTCCGTATTTTCTTCCACTTAATATTCCAAAATATCATTTCATTAACCTAGTTCCATCGACCAATTCGCCCTGTATATAATGAAACGTATCTATCACTTTCTATAACATGGCTTTTAAGAAAATGGATAAGGTTACATTTGTTTTGGTTTCCACCAACATGCCGTTATTAATACTTTGTGTGGGATCGGTGAAGAAAAATTGATGTTTATCTATGTGCTCGATTGTGTTGACCAAGAAACCTCAAATATGGCCAGACTGGAAAAGTGATACTAAGCACGATGTTTCAAAGTGCCGTTCATATTGCAGCATTGATTTTGCAAAAAGCAAATACAATTTAGATAGCTTATTTTTGGAGTGAAGCAAATAGATTGAAGACACTATCTGAGTTTATAGAAGTTATTTCCATTATCGCCAAAAAAATTAAGCGTGCCTTTAATATATGTTTATTTATTCATTTTACAAGCATCTGATTGCTGCGCACGTGTTGAGGCCTCATGAGCAATAAAGTGTTTTTATATACTTTGAAATTTGAGGCCATTCTTAAGAAAGCAAACTGCATCAGTAACTTTAACGCTTTGGCGTTAAAGCAAGTGCATCTTACAGAACATTGAATACATTTTAGTTTTGATAAATCACTTAGGAATATATTAGAAGCTTTGTTCTCAACATAATAATTTCCAAATATTGTTTATCTCGTCGTATCTTTTGATTCCCCGTTTACTTAGGCTCTTAACTCTGGCCTGATGTGGATAAGTTCCGAAAACAATTAACACAATTTTTTACGTTTGATAAGATATCAAAGCGAGCAGTTATGGAAAATAACCCATCTTCTTATCTGATGACATTTCGGAGATAACGCGGCTAATTTATTGTACTATTGTAATACAGTTGGAAAATAACAAATTTTAGGGACTTTAAATTATGCGTCAGCCTTAAAGGCAGGTTTGTTATAATTACATCAAACTACCACGATATGAGGATTCTTAAAATAAATCATAACAAACAGGTTATCTTGATTAATCAGTTTCTACAACTATAAAATCCAAATAACTTTATCGAAACGAAAAATCTCGTAAAAGAAATGATTTAGAAGCCGATAAAATCGAGGATAAAAGTCATGTAAGTGTCTAATGGTATCCAATTTATCAACATAACTGTGGTAGTTAATTAATCAAATTTTAAATGGAAAATGTTGTAAGCAGATTTCTATTTCCATTTTTGGAAGGCTGAAGAGTTTTTCGATTAAATCTTACTCTTTGGGCGGATCATTTTTACGACTGTGGGACCACCATCATTTCTAAATCGACATGTTTAAATCAATCGGAACGATTTGGACGATTAAGCTCAATAAAAAAATACATGGACAAACAAACTCAATCAATCAAACATGTAGAAATGGTTAAGTGTTATAAACCCAATGATAATGGAACATTCTACTTACATCAAACAACTTAATCAATTTAATTAACTTGTGCAGATGGTTCATTATCATCAAGCAATAAATAAGAACAGTCTCAAAGTTGCTAAGATATATTTTATCTAAAAACGCACTTGTTAATATTTCTAATTAAGTATACTCCATTATGTACTTAGTAGAGTAAAATTGCAAACTAAACCAGAAATTTATTTCAATTTATGTACTTCTCGAAATGGGTTCGTGTCACACATTTCCACAAGAAAAAGTTAAGTGAAAAAGTGGTTCCTAATGTATTTCTGCGATCAGTCAGAGAATTCTTGGAAAACTAAAGTCGGTTTTGGGGTCCATAAACAACGTTAGGGAGGTTTAATATAAAGCTCTAGAATAGAACCCCTTTGCAAGTAATCAAACTCAGGACACAAATGATTACGAACTTTACAATTTACCATTCACGATATCACAGTTAAATTTTGAGTTTTTTAATGGAATCTTAAATTTCGGTTGTATAAACCTTCTTATTGAAATACACAGTACAATATTTCTTAAAGCTAAGACTAAATCTTTGCGACTAAAATTAATGTCTTTCTAAACCCAACATTAGGGCCCGAATCGTTGATGCGGTCTTCAAATAGCTAAAAACACTCAGTGAAATATTCGAAATAACAAAAATTAACACTTTTTGTTGTTTTTTATTCGTAATTAGTGTTATTGACATTCTAAATTTCCATTTACAAGCTACAAGTGCTTTGGAACCCCAGTATCTTTATGTACTATGTTCCACAAATCTTCCGTCATCCATCTATTAAATTGACATCTTTCCAGTGTTTTGCACCCCCATAAAACACTAATCAAGCACTAAAGTTTAAACACCAACGTTTTAAATGTAACATTGCTTTTTGTGTTATAAATGACAGAACTACTGTCATCTGTCTTCTGTCACAGAAGTCATCATTTATTGCCTGTAGCCCTCGGAAGGGGTAGGAAGAAGTGAAGAACATCGAAAACTTTCTTCAATTTATTGTTTCATTATCAATAGTAAATATTTAGCATTATATTTCATGGTAATCTGATATTTTCAAAAACGGATTAGATATTTAAACCCTTAGAGAATATGTATAGTCGCGCTCTCTAGGAGCATTCGGGAGAACTGCGGTGGCGGCCCTAAAATCGAGCAAAAGTTCTCTGCTTCCACGCCATTAAATCGAAGCGTGATGGCGGAGCCGTAATATTAAGTTTTCTCAGAGTTTATTGGTTTGGTGAAGTGAATCTTGACGAAACTGTACGGAAGCTTGATAATAAACTCTTTAGGGTCGCAACCTTCGACAAAACATTGAAAGAAGTGAGTTCTTCTACTTTGTACATAATTTTTTATTTTTTATATTTAATAATGTATCTATCATTGTCTAAATTGGTCAATAAATTAATGTATGTATAGTGAAAGACTTGCTTTATTTGCACTATCATTCCACACAAGTTGTGTGTTTGGAAATTTCTGTTTTTGACAAAACTGTATACGAATTTTAAGTCTGGTTTTTTTCTCTCTAAAAACAGTTTATGAAAATCGGACTTTACCATTTTTTAAGTTCACAAGGTTAAAATTAAGAAAAAGCAGTTTCTTTTTGATGAAAAGTCTCTAAAAAAGAGGATTCACAGAGGAGAGGGGGTGATTAAATAATTTGATACTTTGCAGTGATATACAGGGTATCTCCAAAATATGCCAGACCTTAGTGGTAGATAAGTTCTATCTTGTTGAGGCGGATTCATTTTGTTACAAACTTCTTGTTGGGTATTTCGCCTCAAAAATTTTTGTATTGTAGACAGAATTTCCTCACGTCTTTTATTACAGATTGATAAATAGTGCTCCTATTTCGCAATAAGAACGAATTATTTATCAAAAAGTAATCAAGAAC